CCATAAAATGTTTTTTTTTAATTATTATTAAAACTGTTTTTATTCTAGCCAAAATAAATAAAATAAGACTTTCTCCAGAACAAGAAAATTTTATCAGACATACAGTGAAAATTTTCTTGGTCTGTTAAACATTATTTGGGAAATGCAAAAAAAAAATTCAAAGGGTTTTTTTTTCTCAATATGCCATCAGCTAAAGAAACAAAGTTGTAATTTCCAATGTAAAATGTATTATCCAAAGACCTAAATGCACTGACTGAAAAAAGTTAATTAGAGCATTTAGCTCTGTGACTCCTGTTAAGTAATAAGGTACAGAGCTCATTTCAATATAAAACCAGTTCTTCTACTTGACTCTGGGAAAAAAAGTCATCTGTGTGCAACACAATACTTCATCCCATTAAAAACATTGCCCAATTTACGACAAAAAGATTTTAAAAAACAACTCGAAAACGGAACACTAATGGCTACTTGACAAGTAATATATATTTTGCTCCAGAAAATGCTTTAAGGATCTCTTGGAGGAAATGTTTAACTGTCTTAAATTAGCGAGGAAGTGTTATGAGGCACCTATTACAGTGCTGAGCAAAACACAGCTCCAGAATGCATCGCCAGCACAGGTTCACAAGGGAAAAGAAAGAGACTCTAATTGCTATTCAGATTTCCCCTCCTTCATTCACCAAACTCTGCATAGCACTAACCACCATCCACAAGGAATTCTAAAGTGGTAACAATGACTTTGCTATTCAGTTCAGCCTTGAGCAGAGGACGGAGCATTCATTATATGCATCCGATAAAGCCGTGTGTCTGTTTTAATGAGTGAAAAGTTTGAGAGGTGAGGACCTATTTTCAGAAAGCGCACATGCCATCCTCCTCTTGATTGGCAGGCTCATGCGCAGGCCAGAAGACCCAGTTTCAATCCACCAGAGCAAGGTGTTGCAGATCAGCAGTTCTGTGTAAGTGTGTGCTGTGCAGACGCAGCCTGCAAGTTAAATTCGGCATGAAGCTGAATTTGTTATAATCTTTTCTTCCTTGTTATGATGTATAAAGAGAGAAATGTAGGGCAGGTAAGGGAAGGCGATACAGCAAAAAACTATTTATCCAGAACTTTTTTTGTTTTAATGTAAGTACAACATGATTCAATTAACTTTCTATTTATTTAAAGCTTGTAAAACTATCTAGATATAGAAAGGCTTTCCAAGTGTAATAAACTTCTTTGTATGCAATTTTAACGTAACATTTCTCGGCCGCTACAGGCACCGATATTGGTCAGTTAAGTACAACTTATTTTTTCTTCACTAAACTAATTGAACAAGGATTCATTTAACATTCAAATGTGCAACATTTTAAAGGAGGGAAAGGACTTAACAATGCTGAAAAAATATGTCGTACAATATGACATTTCGTTTTGTAGCTGTTTTTAAAAAATAAACAGGTAAAATATATTTTCAGATCTAATTCATTCTAATTCTGACAGAAAACAGTCACGCTTTAAACATTTAGGGCCCCATCATACACTCAGTGCAATAAGGTGCAAGATGTGTAAAACGAGATTTGCTGCTATTTTCAGACCAGTTCATTTTCACATTTGGCATCATGTTGTTTAACTAGTAAATCCCTTTGCGCCACTTTGTAAACTCATGAGTGTTCTGGTCTAAAAAGGAGGTGTGTTAAGGTGCAAGGTTGGTTTTTACATAAATATAAAAACCATGACTTCTTCACCTAGGGGTGGGGGTTTATGTAAATTTGCATTTGTGCATTATTATTAGTCGTAGTATTCTTTATTATATGCATATGTATTTTTGTTTTAATAAAAACTAGTTTAGATTTATCCACCTGACAGGTTTTGGAGACATCTTCATCACCATATGAGGCATAAGAATAGGATGTGTGTTTGGATATAACTCAGTTGTTTGACCACACTTTGTTTTTATTGTTTATTTAATTGTTTGCTGGAACTGAATTTAGAAATTAATATGTTGGCTAATGGATGTCTTCAGTGAAGTGCGTTTCCACCATTTCCACGGAAGTAAATCAGTAAAGAGTTAAAGTAAATAGAAAGTAAAGAGGCAGAATGAAGGTGCCTTGTTCTTTATTCTCGCTGCAGATGGTCTGTTTCAACTGTTTTCCCGCTAGTAAAGCGTTCGTTTTTTTCACTTACAAAGTCTGCCATGTAAATAGCAAATGTGCCATGGCACAATGCAAGTGACTCTTAAAGGGAATGGGAGATGAGACTCTGATTGGTTCAATGCATGTTATGCTCAAAACACATCATTAAGAGAATAAGCATTTACTATTATGGTGATATTAAGAATTTTGCAATATATTGTGCAACCCTAATTTTGACTATTCAATATTACTTTGAATACATTTTATTTAATTTATGATAAAACACATTCATTTAATAAAATTAACAAATAATGCAAGGGTTGTTGCTTTACGTAAAATAGAAATGTTACAATAGAAATAGAAAATAAATGACTCACTAACGTACAGTAGCTTATTTTTAATGTCCAAGACGTGGTAGTCCAAGCTAACCAATGCAGTTTCATGCAGCACTTGAGCTTGATGAACACCAGCTGCTTTCCTCATGCACATCTGACATTTTTTACATACTATATTAGACTGAAGTCTGATATTTTGTAGAGATTATATTTATTTTTTTTATTTTATTTTTTGCATGTATTTAAGGATTTTGCTCTGAGATTGCTTTCATGTAATTAATAAACTACTGACATCGGCTTTAAACATTATAGATAATACTTTTAAATTAATCCAATATTAGCTGATAAATATCGATATCCGATACTTTGGTGCATCTATAATAAATAGTAAACTTCCAAAAATATCCTATATATTCAAAAATGTTATAAAATGAGAAGTTATCACCCAATACATGGATGTGCAGTTTGAGAAGTAAACTCAAAATGACTAAAAGTAACAGTAAATGTTTTGTAAAAAACAAAGACAATAACAAAACCTATATCTGTCACTATCATGATTCATGTACACACAAAATATCTGCCATAGTAGCAGGTTGTTTGCATATTTTTTATATTCCAGTGCACTGTTTATTCAGTTGTTGTTGTTATTGTTATCTCTCTCTCTCTCTCTCTCTCTCTCTCTCTCTCTCTCTTTTTATGTAAACATACACTTGACGGATTGTTTTGACATTGCATTCATGTCTTCTTGCAGCACTTCACTCATGGAACATTAAAAGCACTCAGTGCTGAAGTTAAAAAAAACAAATAAAACAAATGTTTGCATCTCAAAAGCTTGTATTTCTTTTTTTCTTATCGCACTTCTGCATCTCGTGTTTTTCAATGCAAAAAAAAATGCTGTTTGATTTTATGCAAATGGAAAAGAAATTAACTTTTTAAATATATATGTTTAAAAGATGCTTAAATTACACTACAAAGACAAACATACTCTATGGCCCAATCACAATTCTACCCCTTAGCTCCTCCCCTTATCCCTACCCCTCATTTTGCGCGTTCACGTGAAGAGGTAGGAGTGTCCCAATTCTCTTTAGCTTGAAGGCATAGGGCTAAGGGGAAGGGCAAGATACCCCTTCAAACTGAGATTGTTTAGGACCACACTTAAAACCAAGGGGTAAGAAAATTTCCCAGAATACATCATCTGCAATGGCAGCATGGCTGCACACCGAAGTCAGGAGATGTTTTTCATCAAACAAGAATATATTTTAATAAACTTATAATCGCGTTCGTGTTTTACCATCATGCTTGCTATGTATAATCCATAATAAAAACTCCTGTATGGTGTCCCACAACATTCTGACACTCGATGACTCTGGAATACCCTGTCAGTAAAGTCTGTGACTGGGATTGAGCTTTTTACAGTGTCTGCTATAATGTTAATGTTGTTTTTGTGTGTTAACATAAATGAACATGGCCATAATGTAAATGCACAGTACAGTTACGATCTTATTGCCACATTATATGGTTATAATAACATGATATCATTGCCTTCAGTGATTTCCCGAAGATAGTTACCAAAAACAAAAAAAAATGCATAAATGGAATAATTACAACAGTCGGCATCATCAATCTTATATGAACCAAGAGATCCCTACGACATATGATGACGCGTGCAGGTGCTGTATTGTTAGGGGTTAATTTCTTAGGCTTACATTTTAAAACCCTTCCCTTTCACACTCTGTTTCAAGGGCCAAAGGGAAGGGGTACACAAATAAAATTGGGATTGGGACCATATATTCCGTAATAAACATAAAATGTAAAAAAAGTTTAGACATTTGGTTTTAAAGGCTTACTGCTTAGTACTCTTTAAAACTGTGACATAAACAATAAATACAATCAGTGAAATCATGCTCAACCTGTGCTGATACCCAGGTGCGATGCCCCCCTTGGTAAGGGAGTATTAAAAACTGGAGCATTTTGGGTAATAGTGTCCCCCTCTCCAGCAGAGTTCCAGGTGCTATCAGCTGGTGCTAAAGCCCTTTAATTAAGACCATCTATCATCATTAGGTAACAGTCCGACAGCCACTGCTTTTGTTAATTAACTCTTAGAGATTTCCACCAACCGTATTAAGCCCAATAGGCGAATCCTTTGGGTAGCATTGTCACAAAAGTACAAGCTTTCCTCTATGTACATAACCCTGGGAAAACACTGACTGGGAGTGTTATTAGTTTTATGAAATGCATACAGGGTAGATACAGAGAGCGTTTTGAAAAATGTATGTAGGCATGACGCCAGCATAACAAAAGCTGTCAGTGGCATGGTGTAAGCTCCGTTGTGTTTATGAACCCAAATCATGTTTGCCCCGCATTATGATGAGATGCATCAATATTCAGCACCATGCAATATTTATGCATGCTTTATTTGCTGCTGATTTCAGCGTTTTCTCTAGCCCTTACACCTTGTGCATACACAGAGATGTGAGCTCTGCTGTTTTACCAACGAGCGATGAGACAAAATGGGCTCTGAAATCCATTAAAGCACTTAACTGTGTTCATTTTATCTTGCAGGGAGTTTAGTCACTGGAAAGTGAACAGCTTGGTGACAGAAAAGAGAGACTTCTTCAAAGCCCCGCTGCCTTTGGCGCCAGAGTTTTTACGCAACCTCAGGCTTCTGGGGAGAAGGCCGAGTCTTCAGCAGATCCATGAGAATCTGATCAAGAAATATGGCACTCATTTCTTGGTATCAGCCACATTGGGAGGTAAGCGAAAGGGTATTTTGAAAATCCAATAAACATATTCAATAAAACATAAAAATCAGTCATTTGTGTGTCTTCATCAAACGTTATATGCATAGAGAGCATATTCAATGAAAGTGTGTTAAAATTGTATAGCTCACCAAACTTTTGTGAAAATATTCTATATTCTAAACTGTGCTTTCTTAAATAGAAAAAAAAGAATAACAATAAATTATATTTTAAAACGAGGCAGCACAGTGACTCAGTGTTTAACACTGTCACCTCACACCAAGAAGGTTGCTGGTTCAAGTCCCATGTAAAATATATGCTGGAATAGTTGGTGGTTCATTCCGCTATGTCGACCATTGATAAATAAGGGACTAATAAAAAGGAAAATTAATGAATAATTTATTTAAAATTATAAAAAACTATATGTGGTGACATGGTGGCGCAGTAGGTAGTGCTGTCGCCTCACAGCAAGGTCACTGGATTGAGTCTTGGCTGGGTCAAATGGCGTTTCTGTGAGGAGTTTTCATGTTCTCCCTGCTTTCGCGTGAATTGGGTAGGCTAAATTGTCCATAGTGTTTGAGTGTGTATGAGTGTGATTGAGTGTGTATGGATGTTTCCCAGAGATGGGTTGCAGCTGGAAGGGCATCAGCTGCGTAAAACATATTCTGTGTATGTTGACGGTTCATTCTGCTGTAGCGACCCCGGATTAATAAAGGGATTAAGCCAAAAAAAATAAGTTTAGGAGTAAAAACTATGTGGTTTAAATGAAAGTGGCATTGACGATGATGATGATGATGATGATGATGATGATAAATGGATTGTACAATAGTACAATTATAGTACAATTCTGTGCAAAAATACTGTTTTAAAATATGGTAACACTTTATTTTGATGGCCCATCTGACTATTAGTACACTGTAAAAACCAAAAAGTTAAGGCAACTCAAAGCATTGCAACAAACCATTCAAGTTTAAAAACTAATCTTAATGAGTACTGTGAACTTAATCCATTTGAGTAAATGAAGCAATTTGAGCACAGTAAAACTCAATAAATGAAGAGAACTCAAAACAACTGAGTACTTGAAAACCCAATAAGTTAAAGCAACTCAAACTATTTGAGGAAACCGATTGCTACAAACCATTTGTGTTAAAAACTAGTTTATTTGAGTACTTTGAACTTACTTCATTTAAGTTGACGTTATGAGGTATTTAATTAACTCACTACCTTCAACACTGAGTTTAATACTCCTTTCAAATGAGTAGAATTAAGTTTCTGTCAATTTTGAGTTAACTACACTCATTTAATTTGTTAAAGTTGACTGTTGGGTTTTACAGTTTAGACTATCTGCTTAATATCTGTTGATAATAATCTCCTTCAACTGACCATTAACTGACTACAAGAAACTTAGCAAGTACATTTCAACTTAAACTAACCCTAGCCCTTACCCTAACCTAACAGTCTATTTATAATCCAATTATAATTAGTTGGCAGGTAGATGCAATGTAAGGTAAATTCAGCAAACGGATCATCAAAATAAAGTGTGACCAAAAATGTTTAGTGATAATGCTTTGTGGCCTTATATCATAATCTTAAATCATAATTGTCAATATATGACTCGTTTTAGCTGTGTAATCATAATCTTTTATATATAAGAGCTGTAAACATATAACAGAGTATTATTATTAACAGTTATTATCAATAATAACTGAGTTTTAATAAACACATGCCTGTAGCCTGCTTGGTTTTTTCAAAAAGTGGACCATTTTGCTGTTATTCGCCACATTTTCTGTTTAATCATGAGGTTTAAATTCTGCCTTTTAGTGACGTTTAAGCACTGTTTTTTGCTGGATTAGCTTGTCGGATGGCCATCATAACCAGACATTTTCATCTTGGTCGTCATTACCACACGTGCCCCTAGCTGCCTGCACTCTGAGCAGTCCCACTTTTTTCATTCATTTATTTATTTGACCAGAGCCAAACCTTTTTGCAGCCTGCAGGTTAATGATGTCCAATAAATAAATCTATGAAGTTCATTTCTTGTCAGATGTTGACTTTTAATCTGCACTCAGAAATACACAAATTAAAATAAAGTAAACAAAATACAACCTGAAATTTCAACCATCACGGATGCGGTAAAGAAAACTGTGTGACTCTGCTGTCTTCTGAAGAACGCACTGCCGTCAGATTTGACAGACGCAGATCTTAAAGAGCCTGCACACAATTTTTAACATGCTACATATTCTCAATGCAAAATGCACAGATTATCCATCTGAACAACACATGAATATTCTAAGTTCGCAAATGCAAACAATTCAAAACTAAAATAATCAAAAACTGAAGTGCATTATATAACATTAAATCCAAACAAATATGCTCCTACAACATATATTTAAATATTGCAGAAAGCAAATCGTGATGTTTTAAAGAATAGTGTTGGAGATTTACCCTTTAATGTTCTCATATTTATGATAAATATTTGAAGTGATAAAGCAGGTGTTTCTTTGAAAAAGACATGATAGTGTCAATAGAAAATTCAATTAATTTGATTTTAATCTTTATTTTATACATGTAGCTTAATTATTTGTGTTTATTTGATATTTTTTCATTTCAAGATTTGAATATTTATGAGCACTAATTCTTACAGAAAATAGATTCAGATACTGTTAAACATTACATTGTGTTAGCTGTTCAAATACATCTTCACGGTAAAGTACTGAATTGGAAAAGACGTTATTTTAATATAGTCAGTCGTGAACTGATTTGGGCTGGTCTAAGGCTTGAAACTCAAGGGCTGAAAAGGAGTCCCACTCTGGCCCTGGTCAAACCTAAGCAACCACCAACACATGATTCTGCTTGGTCTTAAAGCCTCCTTTGATAAGTTATTTGGTATTTTTTACAACTTATTATGGCATACCAATCAAAATAGGAAATATTAGCACATGTATGGGACAAATACTGGACCTTCAGTGTCAGTGAGGAGGGGTTCGAAAGACCCAAACTCCCCCTGGCAACAGGCCTGAATAATAAGGTTCCAGAGAAAGACTGGAAGGGCATTTTTAATAAATCATTTTATATAATCTTATATAAACAGATTCTGACATCCCTGGCATAAGTGTAGTCATTATTAGACAGCATTTTTTTCTCTTTTCCCTCTGGCGCCCAATTCAAAAGTAGGGCAGCGTGTCCCAGTGGTGAATTCAAACCCTTCAATGTTTCTTTAGCAAAATGTTGCACGTTACGACACTAATTATGATGTCACTTATTGGAGGATGTATGCAGTGAAGCTGCAGAAGTTCAGCGACAGGGGAGACGAATGAGGTGGTAAAGCTACCGCGAATGCTGGTAATTAACAGCTCAAAGCAAAGGAAATGAGGGGACCATGCTATAGTGTGCATACTAAACAGACTGAAACTAATAACGGTACTCAAACTCAACACACACACAGAAACAAGAGACGCTCCTCAAGAATATATATCTGAATTTCAGGCTCAGCTTTAGATGAAATGAAAAAAAATAAGCATTTAAAAAAAAATTGATCTTCAGAAGATATCTGCGGTTATAACAACCTCCCTTTGGGATAAACTCCCTTTCGTGTATTCCCTTTACCTTGCTTCAAAATCGTTATTGCTTCTTCGCTTACCTTCAGTTATTCATATTTAAAAGCCTTGAAAACTCAACAGTTCAGGCTAAACGATTATATGAAAGACATACGAGAGTACACTTTTGACAGTCAGAACAGAACTCCGTTGTTTTGCTGAAGATTGTCATCTTGTGAAGGCTTTTGTCTCATGGTTTGGTTTCTGCATCTTTCCCAAGGAGAGGAGTCACTCACAATTTTCTTGGACAAACAAAAGCTGAGCAAAAAATCGGAGGGCAACGGAAACAGCTCCGTGGTCTCACTAGAAATCTTGCACCAGTTGGCGGCGTCGTACTTCACAGACAGAGAGAGCACCCTGAGAAGACTGCACCACCTGCAGATCGCTACATCTGCCATCAAGGTAACAGATGACACTGATTCTGCCTGTTTCATTGAATAAAAAACAAAATGGGCCAGTGGCGACTTTTCTGATAAATGCTATTACAGTTAGAAATGTTCAATGGGTGACATTACAATAACGTTTGATTTTCTCCAAAACAGATGATAGTGAATTTGGGAGCATCTTATTTTGTTGATTGTTGTACATACTGTGACAATTCAGAAATTATATGTAAAATCAAAATCTGAAATCACTAAAAGTATTAACATATATAAAAGCATTTTTGTATTGGTGGTGTTTTATTGGAATGGTCATTTCGTCTGAAAACAGAAATGAATTTGTGTGTTTTTTTTTGTTTGGAGTTTTGTCCAAAAATGTAGACTAGGACATGTTTTACCAATGTTAAGATATTCAATATGTGATACTACAATCACAGTTTTTGTTTTGGTAGCATCAATTTGTTGCTTGTTGTTGATTGTACATATGTTGACAGAACACAAAATTAAGGTGACAGTAACACCAGTGCATTTTAGATTTAAAACATGTACGTTTTGATACAATTACGCGTGGCATCCAATTGACTCCAACACCTACGACCCACAAAATAGAATGTTTTTAAAATGCTAAAGATTAGGTATTGGTTTGGAAATGCTAGTGTTACACTTAAGCTGCTGTAACACTGGACTTTTCTTCCTATAGACTTCCATTCATAAGCATGCGAATGAAGCAGCCCAGAAACGCAAACTCGTTCGACAAGTGAAGCTCTGGTAAACTCAGACCTGCAAAATCGCATCACGTGATTGCATAAAACCAATCGAAGATCAAAACATAACCTCTTTGTAGAGAAATTAAAAATATGGGCCCCTTTTGGCAGTGCCGTACGACGCATGCTCAAACTCTTGTGTGACCTCTGCTTTAAGCGTAAAATTGGTAGACTTCAAGTGGATGCCAGTCTGGACGAGGAGTGTTTTAAAACACCATTTTAAAATACATCCAGAAATTCTGAAATAACTAAATAGAAGTAATAAAAACAAACATAAGCGGAAAAAAATATGAGATAAAGGGTTTACATTATAAACAGCATCAGCAATAAATACATTCTAGGTAAAAAAAAATAAAAAAATAAAAAAATTGTTTGTAATTTTAATTTGGCCGATTTTAGATGCCTGTGATATTATGGTAAATGGTATTCCTGCCATTTTCTACCAGTGTTGCAGGCATTGTACCAAAAGGCTGTAAAGGCATTGATATTCTAACACATTTTAGCTTATTTTTTGTTTACGGGTATAACCATAAGTTTGCATTTTCTGGGCAATAGTAGGCCTATACTGTTCATATTACTGAGAACAGCATTTAGAAAAAAAAAGTATAAATATGTGTGGTGCATTTTCTTCTCAGTAGCATAATAAACATAAAATGACATACTTTAAGTGAGAAAACAGCAGCATCTGATAAGAGACGTGGATGTTTGTGTAAACTATGCAGCGTTTCACTGTAGTGTCACATTTGCTTACAGTATATTACACTTAAACAGTAGGACTGCTTTAAAGCAAACAGCTTTAAAAAATGATACTCAACTATTTGCCCTTCAGTTTCTACAATAAAGAACTTTTCCAGTCTTCTTGTTTTTAAATACAGACATTTGACTTGAACAGAGGAATCGTTTAAAATTGTTTAAAATGCTGCATTCTGTCTTTCTTGTTATTTTATGTGTTTGTGACAGATCACTTTAGGAAGTCAGTTGAAGCAGCTTGTAAACTAATCAGCTCATCCTCCCTACTACTAGTTCCAGCACCAAATAGACATAACTTTTCAATCTTATCACATCTTGTCAGTAGTTTATAGTAAGTACTAGGCTGCGTCCAACACCAACTACTTCTCAGTAGGTATTGCAATTGAATCTAAATGTACTACTCAGCCTTTAGAAAAGTACGTTCTTTACAGTATGAAAGTGAGCAGTATGAATGGAACTCGGATGTACTACATCTGCCATTTTGTCATGATCTCGTGTCCTACCCATGTCAGTTGCGTTGTTTCTCTCCCATTCATGAATTCTCTCGGGCATCATGGGATAGCATAGCGTCCATCGAATGAGCACTTCAGAATCTTACCAGAAGTAGTAGATCATCCAAGTGCTTCTTGCATACTGATTTTCGAATTCGGACATACTACTCCATGCCCCAGGATTGCATTTCTTCTTACGGACATTATCTTGAGACTCTGAAGTTAGTCAGAGGATGTTGGGGGTAAAATAATACCCAATTGGTCTGGTTTTCTCCTGCTCACTCATTCTGAAAAAGTAGTTAATTTAGTCCTTTCCACACAACTTGCTAATATCAGTGATTAAATGATTAAAGGGTCTTCATGCTGAAGAGTTTTGTATGTTCAAGCCTCGGCTGGGTCAGTTGGTATTTTTGTGTGGAGTTTGCATGTTCTCCTCGTGTTCGCGTGGGTTTCCTCCGGGTGACGTGCAATTGACGGACTGTCTCTCGCGTTTGTTTTATACAGATTACAAAACCAGACAACTTTTGTTATCAAGTCCACTTGATTCATTTAAAAGCACAGATTTTAAGCTTCATGTGGATATATTTCTAACACTGTTTGTCTGTGAAGCAAGTAATGTTGACCACCAATCTGTTGTAAAAGCACTCGTCTGGCTCAACCAGACATCATTCTATATCGATCGCTGATTGGCTCCTGTGGCAGGGCTTCATTCGCCATATTGACCGTTACACTTTCCCCCATTCAAAACTATGCAAGTGACAAGTCTTGTGTATTCTAGTCTTTAATTATGGTACAATATATCATTGTTACGCCATAACATTCACTGTCAAAGAGTTAATTAATACTATAATATATACAGTAAACTACACTTCACTACAGTGTGGTGCAAAAACACTATAGAATTTACAATGAATTACTATAGTATGTTTCATGTGGGTAGTAATATAATTCAATGCCGAATAACTAATAAATTTACTAAAATCATCTGAATCATTTGTAAAATGACTGATTATTAGTGAATTAATCGTTCTTATAATCATTACAGTGATCTGGTTTTAAAATAATACTTTGTTGTAGCCCTACATGTGAGCTACTGTTAGAAAAGTCATACTTATAGTGCAAAAGTCAAAATGTAGTATTATTTTATAAGTCATGCAGTCTTGATATCATAATACAGTCGGTGTTTTATTGTCTCTAGTAACCATTTCACCTAGCATTTGCAATGAATTGTTTGCATAGGCATGGCAGTGAATACATAAGCGGAATTATAAGTGCAGACATATTTTTCCAATGAGTTTTTGTTGTTTTCTTGGAATCGTTTCAGAGTGGTAATTAACTTAATTATACTTATAAATCTATGTTTTGTTTTGTAGTGGTTTTTTTATTGTTTCTATTGTTTCTCTATGCATCCTGATGTATGTTTGTTGCCATGGTAAATCTTCAGCAATTAAGGCCCTTGCATTCGTGTGATCCCATTTCCATGATGTGTCAAGTGGCCCTCGGTCTTACTCACAGCTGCTGAGTGGGTGTAGCAATGCTGGTGACTGCAACATCACAATTCCTTCAGAGGGAGCTCTGCATGAAATTACACTGCTGAACTGAGACAAATATCACTGACTTTCAATCAAGACATGCACCTGCTTCAGGACAATTATAGTTTTGTATTAGAAATATTTCTGCTGGGGTTAGAGATGCTGTCTTAAAATCCTACATCATATTTCGCACTTGCTAAAAGATCATAATACAATTTTGCATTTATATAGTGCCTATTATTCGAATAGGCATAGATGCTTTTAAAAAAGGACGCCAGTAAAAACTAAAAAGGGGTTTATCACAGTGTTGAGTAAGATTTTATAATAAATGCACACAATGTGTAATGTGTCTGTGGATGACAATTATTAAGTATTAGCGAATATTTGTAAAGCATTAACTCTACATTAGTCCACTTTACCAAGCAATTTATAAATACAGTTACAAATGCAGTATAGGTGAATTGGATGAGCATTATTGGTCGTAGTGTGTGTGTGTGTGTGTGTGTGTGTGTGTGTGTGTGTGTGTGTGTGTGTGTGTGTGTGTGTGTGTGTGTGTGTGTGTGTGTGTGTGTGTGTGTGTGATTGAGAGAGTTTATAGGTGGTTCCCAGCATGGTGTTGGGTTTCAGCTGGAAGGGCATCTGCTGAGTAAAACATTTGCCAGAGTAGTTGATAGTTCATTCTGCTGTGGCGACCCCTGATAAGAAAGGGACTAAGCCAAAGGAAAATGAATGAATTATTGTGTTTATATGCTTTGCGAATATTTTTTTTTCCATTACTAAATAAAGCATTATTTACAAACCAGTTAATTAGAAGTAGTTGGTGGTTGTAATGTTTTTCAGAATGATTAAGTAAACAATTAATAAACTATTCAAATAACCATTGCATCTATGTATTGTTTTTCTAGGCATATAGTAATTGTTCCTCTGTACAGTAATAAATGCTGTATTAACAGTTTGCTCATCTTTTTTAAGAGCTCATCTAAAGTGAGAACTATTTCTGCTTTTAAAATTATTGTAGACAGGAAAAGGAAACGAAGAGCAGATGATTGAGAACGAAAAAAAAAACATTCATGTCAAGATACTACAATAAAACTGTACAACTGTATCAAATGAAAAATACATATTTGCAATCTTATTGAAACATAAAATTACTGTACAGTTTAAATTAAACAATTAAAACAGAAGTGCACCCGCTTCGGATGTTATCACTCGAATGAATGTGCATTATTTGTGGTTACCAGCTGATAGACATGGGCCAGTAGGGGACTTCTGCGCCATCCTCATGGTTAATCAGCCATACTAATAGAGAATATTCCAGATCCTGATCTGTTTTAACATTATTGTGACGGTTAGGTTTAGGGTTGGGGTAGAAGTAGGAGTAGACGATAATAAAATATAGTTAATGGGAAATCTATTAAATAATATAAATAATTCTAGTAAACTTCCGGCTGCAGCCGTATGTGATCTATAGCTGATTAACCATGT